GGCAGCACGACAGATCGAGCGAGTTACGCATATAAAGCGAACGACCTTACCGGACTCGCAACAACCAGGTGGCCTGATGACATAAATTGAGTCGGGGAGGGGCCCACTGGGTGCGGAAAGCGCAATGCCTTTTGTGTATGATATCCCTGAGGAGGCTTATGTCTAGCAGTGGATGTCCATCGGGTGATGATGATGATGACAATCCTCTATTAAAAAAAAACTATCTATTCTATCAGTGTGTTTGTAAAATCGAACTGCTTCGTGTAGAATGATAAGAGTAAGAGAAAATTTAGCATGTGCTAGCTCTTACCATTAATAAATTTAGAGTAATAGACAACCGATATTGAATTTTGCTCGACAACATTTAAAATTAATATTATATTACCTGCTGTGAATTTGAGGAGCTCGATGGCGCGGGTGGTTAGCGTGTTCGGCTGCGATCGTTGAAGAAGCAACTTTCGCAGTGGTCGGTCATTGGATGGGTGACCAAAAATCTTCTATCTCGAGTATCTCCGTGCTTTAGAAGGCACGTTAAGTCGTTGGTCCCGGCTGCATCTGCAGTGGTTAGCACCCGCCAATCCGCACTGGGCCCGCGTGGTGGGTCATGGACCAATGTCCCTATTCCATTAATAGAGAGGGCCTGTGGGCCAGCAGTGGGGACATTAATAGGCTGATGATGTTGAAGACTTACAATTTTACACACACGACATTGGATTCGTCTATCAGGTAGATTATCAAAAAGTATTGGACACTCTTCTGCTTTATCTCTTTGTGCTTTATCTCCATAATCATAACATTACACAGATAAAATCATTTTAAATATCGTATGACGCCACATCTTTGTTTTTGTTACTTAAAAGTGCTTTTTCATTGTCATATTTTGGTTGATTGGCAAAAAATTAAATGTTATTTTTTGGTAATCTGACTGACAGACTACATAGAATTTCATTTAGATTACCCCGTCATCATCCCTATTGATTTTCATTAAATACCCGCCCAAAATGCACCCAATGGCAGATGGAAGAAACGGCGTTACAAACAGCCATAATGCGATTCCACACCGATTAATATCGGCCAGGCGTAATCGATTGTGATCGGTCATTTGTCCGCTACCTTCATTGTGGAATATCGATTTGAATGTAGCCGAACGGGACACGTAACAAGAACTAGAGATTCGGGGATGGCATCTAGATTACTTTAGGGGTGAAGCGATGAATTGGAATGGACCACTTGGGCCGTGAAACGATTAGAGGAACACAAAATAGGTTACTAAATAGATCTCCTTCAAAATTGAATCGAGATCGTACTTGGAATGAAATTGCCCTACTCAGATGCTTATCCCACACCTGCGTGAGGAATCTTTGGGTGGATTTAATACTGAATTGTGCTTTAATTAGCGTTCAAATTTTGAATTTAATACGCTTCAGCTGAATATACAAATTGTCTTCCACAATCTCTTTTAGGCGTGACGAATTATCGCCAGTCAAGCTATCGTCCTCGATGGCGCAACTGGTTAGCGCGTCCGGCTGCAATCGTTGAAGTTAAGCAACTTTCGCAGTGGTCGGTCATTGGATGGCGGTGACCAAAGATTTACTATCTCGAGCTCCTCCGTGCCTCGGAAAGCACGTTAAGCCGTTGGCCCCGGCTGCATCTGCAGTCGTTAGCACCCACCAATCCGCACTGGGCCCGCGTGGTGGGTCATGGCCCAATCTCCCTATTCCATCCATAGGGAAGGCCTGTGCCCCAGCAGTGGGGACATTAATAGGCTGATGATGATGATGATGATGAAGCTATCGTCTAGTGTCTATAGACACGTGGCCCCATAACTCATTACGCCAGAACTAATTCAAATTTCAATCGGTAGTTTTAGCGCATTCATTACCAAAGCCACCCGCTTCATCGCGCAGGTGTGGGTAAGTATGTCATGGTAATAGGTCTGATTAACCAAGCCTTAAACTCAATTTGACAGCTATATTATATCCTTCAGAATGCTACGAACCAGCTTTAATTTTTACATCTATCGTTTTGTGCTGCTATAAATTTAAAGAAACTTAGCTTAGCCCATTTTATTGATCTCAAGTTAATGCCTAATTAAATCAACATCAAAAGTAAGAAACAAAAAGGTTGTTTAGCGTCCTACTTATATCCAACACAGATTGATTGTGAATACCTATTTAGGGCCTCAATATTGATAAGCCCATGTGGCAATTTGTATTAACTGATCCATCCTATGACTTATGCGAAATCTGCATAACACATTTTACAATTGATCGAAATCACTACCCTGTGTAACTCCAATAGAACTCCAAAATTTTAATAAATCTTTAATATAATGTAAATATTGAGAAAATTTTAAGGCAATAACAACGTTATCTATCGTTTGATATCCCTTTCATGTAAACAACAATATATCTTAGAGATATCAACTACAATGCATTCCACAATGTCCCATTATGTGTCTGTCAACGCTTGTACAGATCATTGGCATTGTTGGAATACGTTTGGGTTGCTGGAAACACATTGATCAGCCATATTGCTGTAATTTTGTTTCGTAGTTTTATTAAATCAGGTTTACGGATAGAAATATAAATAGAAATTTTGTGATATAACTTACTTATATCGTAATGTAATGGTAGAATTGACATACCAGGGAGGCGCCAGTTACTCTATAAAATCTAAATCAGTCAATTAAAATCAGCTCAAAATTAGCTTGATCGGTCACCGTAAATAGTTTTAGTAATATGTGAATTAATGGCTTCAGTAATATTAATGATTTCAGTAATATGTGAACATGTGGGTGATATGAGTTTTAATTTTACTACTATTGTTTTTAATAAGATGGGTTGTTGATGTTTAAAATTTTAACATGGAACCTTCTTTTAGATCAAAATGTAAGATAATAGGTTCTATATTGCCATTAATGTCAAACAACTCTATACTAAAAAAAATACCAATTTATAAAATTTAAACTTCTATCTCAAATATGTAACCTATAAGTATTTTCATTGGATTGACAACACAAGCTGTTTGTGCAGCAAACTATAATTGTCTCATCAAGATATACTGCTAACATAGTTGGCAACACCAAACCTATACCCAATTTGAGTGCATTATATCCAGAACTACAGCAAAATAAATCGAGTACTACATAGCGATAGCGTCGAACAATGCTCCGATATAAAAGTTCAGAGGACAGACGATAAGTAAATCCGTCAATTTGCTGGCACGCTGCTGGAATAAAACCAATAACGATGTCTAGTGTCTAGACAGAAAATATTGGAGTCCTCCAATCGTAAAACTGTGATCTGGTCGACAACTAAGTGGTGTATCAGAGAATGGTTTTATTTTAAAACCACTTACTAAGTTTAATAGGTGTTTTCAGATATTTGCCATTTACAAATAGGTAGATTGATTGAAGGTTTTACAAATCCCAATAGATACTTGTTTGGTAGATGTTGAGTCTAATGCTGGCATTATTCTCTAAACCTAAAACTTATAGACAGTTGCAAACCGTATCTTTCTTATGAATGAAGGAGCTTAAAATGTGGAGTCTGCTATTGTATAAATGTGCCTAAATGAAGTAATTTCTTATTATGTCTTAATCCTATTTAACGCACCATTCAATATTTGTAATTACTTTATAGTGGAATAAAGATAGTTTTTTTTTTATATATTTGTATAAACAAAATAAACATGATTCGCTTTTTGAAAACTTCGGTGCTAATGTTTGAATGTTTCACATATCCCAGACATTTTTTGCTAATGCCATAGTGTTTTTAAGCCTTCAAAAAGAACAACAATTCAATAGTACTTCAACAAACGCTTCGCTTCTGTCAACCGAATCATGGCTCAACTGATGGATATTGCGACGCGAGTTATGCTACAGAAATGACATACGACTCCACTAACGGCTCGTGTACATTCCCCCTGATTGATTCCGCTTTTGCTAGAGGAAAACCCAGTTGTTTATGGCCAGTATCAATTACGTGGGGATTATGTTAGACGCGTTAAGATAAAAGAAGACGAGAATAAAAACTTCTGGGTTTAGTCGAGTTTCATGACTTGTGGTACAGCTCGGGTTATAATTAATCTTCCACTGCGCTACCAAGATAACTACTCTGGAAGTGAAAAAGATTTTATTAGAAATGGTAAAAGCAATAGATATAATTCTTAGTAACTATGGGAAAATCAGGAGATATTGAGTCGTTAAACTCCCTTGTCGCAAAATGTAATCATTTTGCACCCTGAAATACTTATATTCACCTCGCACATAAATATATAAAGAGTTTTCTAATTAAAAAGTCCTGTATAGGCTTCCAATCGCTTATTTTGTTGTAAGGTTTTGTTTGTTCTTTTGAGTATTCTTAAGCAACACGCTAACATAAATTATACACCGCTTACCACAACATCCAGAAGACACTTAAATGTATGTATAGTTGAAAGTTCACTCACCTTGTTTGCTAATAGATTTTTTTACATGATAGGGAAAAAATTATACATTTGTGCAAATAAAAAAATTAATATATATCCCAAAAGTAAATATGAAATTAAAAAGATAATAACACAATGGCTCCTCAGCAAATCATATGATGAAACTGAAAAACTTTTTGTAAGTTAAAGTAAAGTAAGTAAGTTAAAAATTTAACGCACAAACACACACACGCAAACACATACACACACACACAAACATAAACACACTATCACACACACATGCACAGTTTTATGATTTCTATTTTAAATTTGTTTCTACCATAAATAAAAATATACATATACCTATTACGTTTTTATGGAGTGTTTTAAAATTGTATCGAGGGTTGGAGGCCTGGAGCTCTGAAATACAGGTAGACTACTGCCTAGTTTAGACTCCAGTCTCCCACAGACACGTTAATGTATTTATATTAATAACCTATGTTTACTATGATCCGTTTGATGTTTGTGGAGAGAAATAAATAAATTATTATTATTAAATTATTATTATTATTATTATTTAAATTTATATTCTATGAGATTGCTGGCATAATTTTGAAATGGGTTTTAACAATCCCTCTTTAGATAATTTTACATATTTTATTTATTCTTTCAAAGCATGTTCAATTATGAAAACACAAAAACAAAAGTCTTGATACCGTACTAATTAATTCTAAATCAGAAAAAAATAAAGGGTAAAACTGAAACAACACAAAAAAACTTGAAAAAACATTATTTAGTCCTTAGCTGTTGTCTCAATTCTGAAACTGAATCATACGTCAATAGCTGGTGCTAATATATTTCCTTTTTCATCATGATATTAATCTAGAATAAGGACTAAGAAATCGACTCGAAGTAAAACTAATATATGTGTCTTTCAAATATCCTGGTAAATAATAACAAAATCACAAGATTAAAAAAATAGAGCAGGAAAAAGATGGGTTCGGACCCACAGTTATTAATTGAAGAGATTTATCTTAGATGGAAACAATAGGCATATAATGATTCCATAGCAAGAAACATACCAATTGTGTACGGTAAAAAATCATCATTTTGAAATGCGTGATACATACAGCAGTACGGCTGCAAATAATATTGGCTCATTAGCCGATATTCAAGGTCTTACTGGTAACTATTAATTAGCGATTCCTATTAATAAAGATGATATCAAAGGAACCTAGGTATTTAATTATTATTATTGTTTGCACTCAACAGTTCTCGTTCTTGATATTCTGAACTGTTTCATATCCATTTTGTTAAGAACAAAGAAGGTTATGTTTTTCAAATTGAAAAACTAATTCTTGAAAAATATATACATACAATACATACTGGGTCTCCCGTTGTCGATTTTACAAACGAATGATGCAGCTTCAAGTGTTTATTTACTTTTCAACTTTTACATATACTTGTAATAGCATAGACTCATTATTAGACGACTGTGTGTTGCTCTGTATTGTGTTTTATGTTTTCAAAAAGAATTTAGCGTCTTTAAAATAAACTGTTTTGACACCATACCATGAGTTGATAACGACCTAAGTGTAGACAATAGAATGCTTTCAAAAAGAGATTTTACGTTATAAACCGTGAAATGCATGCTTAAAAGTAAAAGCTTCTATCTTTTCATGAACTGTTATATTACTAATACATAACATCACACTCGAACCATATAATACCTTTAAATACTCATCGTTGACTAAAGCAATACCTTAAAATCCATACTATTGAAACCAAACTGAACTTTACGACCATTACAAACACTTTTCTCACTTCCTCATCACTGGTTTCCAAGAGATATCGTTCAGCCCATGAAACTGCCTCTTCAGATTCTGTCCGTCGGCCCATTTCGAGTCCAGATAGTTGTCATCGTCATCTTGCTCCAGCTTCTTCCACTCCTCTTGCTTCCTGTAAGCGTGCAGCATCAGCTGCTTGCGTTCATCTTCAGTCATGATTGGCTCCCGACCTGGAGCGCCTTCGGTAGAGGAACAGAGTTTTACTGTGATTTTAGACTTGTTGTTCTTGCCTGAAAATTTTGAAGGAAAAATCAATATAAGCATTATTTTCTACATGATAATTATTAACTAAAGTTTTCCTGAAAATAGCTAGTCCAGTAGATCAGATTATCGGTCTGGTCCAGATTTCTTTATTTCTTTGCGAAGAAGCCAATTTAGGAATTTTTGTTTTTTAAACTGTTGCAATCTCATTACTGCAGTGAGTAATACAACTTCATAACTAAGTTATTTGGCGGAAAGGTGATTAGAATTTGATAGTGACTTCAAGGATGATTTAACTACTACTAACTAACTGCTAATATTTGCATCTATTAGTTGGGCTAACATAAAATCAAGATTAGAAATCAGAATACAGGGAAATATCATAAAACTAACAAAAGACATCAACTTTAGCAACTTTAGATCCGATATAAATATACTGACCCAAATGATCGGAAAGCTTATTCCCAGCTAGCAACTTCTTTCCACAAGCCCACAAGCACGCCCTTGAAGGATCAATGACTTCCTGAGAGGCTTGAGTGCCAGTCAGGTCCTCCACGTTGTCCAACTCCATACGGACTGGGTCGTGGGGTGGCAGCCCAGCAGGGAACACTATCTTTGTCGCTCCACGCAATTCGTCCAACGCTCTGGATACGTCTTTCTGAGTCATGCATTTTCGTAAATCCACCTGAAACGATATGTGTGCAGTAGAATTTAGTGATCGTTCCTTAAATAAATACAAATAACTCGAAAACTTTCAAATCAAATGTTTATTTACAAGAAACATGGTAAAATACATTACAGATTTTTAAATTTATAAATCCATTCATGTTTCGCTAATTTTGCATGCAAATTTACTCCTACTTCACACCAATTTCCCGCATCCATATCCATAAATTCCGTGTCTATAAATATTTTTATTTCTAATATTCTATTAAAAATATTGGTTCTACTGTTCATTATTGATTGGAGCAGTTTTACTGAATCTCGATTAATCTAAAACTATGTACCTATATCCCTTAAAATAATGTCAAGTTGATATTGACGTTTTCACATTTTTATGGGTTAAATAGATTTAAAAATCTATTGTGTCTATGTGTATGTATGTATGTGTATGTGTATTGTGTATCTAGAGTGTTAGCTAAATCCAGATTTAACAATTTGCTGCAATTGGACCTTAATTTCATAACATTTGAAATGATATATTTTAAATCCAAACCTTACGCTTTTATTGAAATAAGGTTAGATCTACAATATTTTCAATAATATATGATGATGTCATACTTACAAGTTTCTTACTAACAAACTCTTTGGCAGTCTCAGTGGCTTTTTTCAGCACCTCTTGTAGATTGGGTGGTGGAGCCAAGCCACATCTTCTACCCATGTCATCTTTACAGAACACGTGTCCAGCTGGAGCGCACCGCATAGCCCAAGGGTCTTCTAACTTGAGCTCTTTTATCTGAGGAAAGGCAATTCGGAGTGGTCAATGTTGATGAAATACAAGAATTTGTACGTAAATAAGCAGTAAAATCAGAAGATGCTATCTTGTCAATTGTGCTACCAAATAGATAACTAATCTGTAGTAATAATACAATAGGATATGATAGGGATGAGGTTAAAAGTAGGCACGTAAGCGGTCCTTCTTGTGTCAAAAAACTATAAGGCTGTGTTCCTGTTAAGTCATCATTATAAAGTAATATAAATTGTCTTGTTTGCCACGCTTATTATTAATATAGATTGGAAAACTGAAGCATATTTTAAATTGACAAACGATACATCAATACCGAATCATCTCCGAAGTAATTTTTCAACTTGACGTCTCTGTAAATTTATTTTATTTATTTATTTATTTATTTATTTATTAGGACCACCAGGGAAAGTTACATTAAATCTTATTTTTAAACATTATAGTGATACATACAAAATGCAAAATTCTATTGAAGGTACCCACATCATGCTTAAGAGACAGTACGAACGGATGAATTTTAATTAAATAAACAAACAGAAACACAAACCGAAACCACATGTAAACAATGAAGTTTATGAACTATTAGTGGCTTTGAAACTATAGATAATAGAAAACGAATATATATAATTACTCGATATAACAAATTTAAAGACAAATAAATACAAGTAAATAATAAAACAAGGAGAAAAAAAACTGCCCTTGCTGAGTTTCTTGCCGATTCTTCTCAGTACAAGGTACAGTAGATTTTCGAACCAATGGCGTAGCTTCTAGACATTCATAAGTGCTTGTAACAGCCTAAGCTGAATAAATGATTATGATTATTATGATTATACCTATGGGACGTTACTTAAATTAGGTACTAAAATGTGACACTGCTACGGTTTAATTCACATAAATACTGATATAAGTAAAATTATCTCAATACATTTGTTGAAACTTCTGATAACTATCTAACACATAAAGTAACTTCTCTTAATATTAATATTTTATCACTTGTAGCTACAGACTGTAAAAAAACCTATGACTAAGACTAAAACTACGAATTCTGTACACCTAAGTAAGTAATATTACAAAATATAGTATTAGGGAATCATATTTTGAATTTTTAAGTTAAAAAAATAAAATAAAGTGAGTACGCTATGTATAGCGCGGCGCGCTACTGTGGCGCTACGCAAAGATTGTGCCTGTGTTTATGTGTAGACGAGTGTGTAAGTGTGTCGATAAAAAAGTTTCTAAATAACGTTTTGAAAATATTAATGTATAGATCTTGAAAAAAATGTGTGCGTGTACTAGTGTACACACGTAAGAAGTGAAACTTCTTTATGGCCTTATTTTTCGAAAAATGATCTACATGCAACTTTAAAGAAATTGGTTAAATAAAGTTAAATTAGATAAAGTTTAAACAAAAGGATTTTATTATCATAGACATGAATACAAATTACTGCCTATGAAACTGTTATGATTACACGGCTCAGTAATCTAAGGCACATGTTACACCTCCGACGATGAACGATAAGCGAGTAGAAACTAGAAACGAATTGGCAGTCCTGAGTTAAAATGCACGCGCACGGCTTTTGACAGCCAAGCCAGCTTAACCAAGCGAGTATAGCTGAGCTAGTATCGCTGAGCGAGTATCGCTGAGCGAGAATCGCTGAGCGAGTATCGCTGAGCGAGCATCGCTGAGCGAGTATCGCTGAGCGAGTATCGCTGAGCGAGTATCGCTGAGCGAGTATCGCTATGCGAGTTTGGCTGAGCGAGTCTTATCTTTAATAACTATTGTCACTCAGCTACAAACGAGTAGAGAGAGTTCTCGCCGGCGACAGTGTGATCATTCAGCTATCAACTATTAATATAAAAAAGATGGCGCGTAACGGAAAAATGTGACGCGTAACCGAAAAATGTGACGGTAAATTTTTTTCCAACGCCGATAAAGAAGTTTCAATTCAAAAAAAGATGGCGCGTAACGGAAAAATGTGACGCGTAACCGAAAAATGTGACGGTAAATTTTTTTCCAACGCCGATAAAGAAGTTTCACTTCAAAAAAATTGTGACTTTGACCTTCAATATCTGCATAACAATAAATTTCCCATGTATGGTCCAGAAGAAAAAAAAGATCGCCATGATGTGGAAAATACGTGGCCTTCAACTTCGTTAAAGGATTTTTTACACCCTGTATATTAGCATACAACAGATCCATCTTACCTGGTCTTCATTTAATCCTTGCATTTCTGGTGGCAAGAACGTGCCGTGCTTCTGCAACTCCTCCATTTCATAGCATATTCTAGTTACTTTGAGCCTTCCATTGTAGATCGCCACAATATCCTTAACCACATCGTCTACTTCATCACTAACATCAGTTTCGTACAAAAATTGGTTTTCATCACCTCTTTTGACCAACAAAATGACCATTGTGTTGAGAAAATTAAATTCCAAGAGTATTGTATTGCGTTGTTGACGTTATATCGAACAAACTTGTCGCTAAGGTGATTTGTTTACTTGACAACGAGGGTTATTGACAGTAGATTTTCGTTTGAAAATAACAAATCCATGACAACCTGCATGCATGGTCATACTCTATTTTAGTGTTGCCAAACTATCGATATTAAAACTATCGACAGTTTACATCGAAAATCATGTACCCTATCGATAGGCCTATCGATAGAATCGATACAACCGCTAGTATCGATATTATCGATAGCTCAGAACAAGGCAATACTATCGAATGAGTGCAATACTATCGATACTATCGATACTATTGTAGTTCATTAATAACAAACTATTGATAGTATCGATACTCTCGATAGTGTTGATTTTATCTGCAACAATACTATCGATAGTATCGATACTTACTAGCGATTGTTCTACACTAAAGTTTGTGATTGACTATAATACCTGAAAATTGTAAACAATACTATTGCAAATTGTTAAACTATCGATAGTATGGTTGCAAATAAAATCGACAGTATCGATACTATCGATTGTTTGTTATTAACGAACTACAATACTATCGATAGTATTTAACTCATCCGATAGTATTGGCTTTTCTGTGCTATCGATTGTCATACGATTGGTTGGCTATCGATAGACTATCGATTAATCATCGAGAGTCGACTATCGATCAGCAACACTACTCTATTTCAACGAGAAACTAAATTTCGATCAAAATTTCGCACGTTTCCTACTCTGTTTCCTTTTCATTTCGAAAACTAGGTCGGCCGAAAATAGTTTGACAATTAAATTCTCCAAGCCTACTCTAATTCACAAAACTTTCAAACGAAAAGTTGAATTTCACATATAATTGTTCGAAATTTTAACCTCAAATTGACGAAATGAAAAGTGTTACCTTTTCATTTTCGTTTTGGGACTTTTGTTTAAATTAAGCCTAAAATGACTGATAGACTATTTTTAATCAAGGCTGCTTAGCGTGACGATCATTTATTAGCATGTCAAATTAACAAATACACCAAATTTTATTTAATAATTATATTTCCAATACTTGAAAGTATTAAACGACAAATTTAGGTTGACATACAATGAAGTGCATCAACTCTACAAGTTAGTCGGCTAACACTGTCATAGAAGGTTCTTTTAATGTCATCAAAAATTTTGTAGGAAAGTAATATTGTTTCCAAGTAAAACACGTAATCTAAACCGTGGAGATAAAAGAACTCACAAACATGACTCATTCCATTCGTTCACGAAAATTGTCTGTGATTCCGAACTTTATGTGCGTGTTCGAAAATGAAATAGAGTAGTCATTGGCGAAATTACGTTTAAAATTCGTTCGTTACCGAAATTTCGTTTCGGAGAAAGAGAGTAGAGCTCCAGGTCGATAATATCGCTGCGGTATTGCGATATCTGTTTTACATTATTTATAAGGACGGCTATGTAGTACACACACTGTTGCGATAAAAAGGACGCAATAGAATTAATATGACGCAATAGAATTAATATGACGAATTACCGCAATTACGCATTCACTATTATCGACCGATAATAACGCGACTATGGAGGGAAAGCTTTAATGCCGCAATAGGGGCGATGACGGGGTACAGTAAACGAAATTCTATTTTCTGTCAGTTAGATGATCAAAAAATAATGGACACGTATATTTTCTTTGCACAATTAACCAAAAAATGACAAAGTTATAGCGCGTCAAAGTTTGGGAGTAGTTACGTCCCTTTTAAGTGAAAATTGTACTTAAACGTGACGTCATGCGACTTTTCAAATCAATATATCTCTGCATCTTATATTATGTGAAAAAAGAGAGAATACGTGTCCAATACTTTTTGATAAATCTACCTGATAAACAAAGAAAAAAAATAGAGTCATCATCCCTTTCGTTTTTAGCCCGTATTGGGGTGGACGAAAGATACCACTCGATCCGGACACCCGAAGCAATATTTACACTGGGATACGGGCTGGAAGTCGGTGTCGGGTAAACAAAAGGAAATCTACCTACTCGACTCCGTTCATTTACACTTAGTCGTTTACCAGAATTTCTTAATCCAAAAATTAAGCGTCAAATTTAAAACTACCATAAAAAGAGTTCTTATTAATAAAGCCTATTATATAGTGTCTGATTATATTTCAGACAAAAACGCTTGGGTTCAAAGTGTTCCAAAAGTTACGGCAGGCTTTTTCTATAATTATAATGAAGATGAAATGATTTTGTATTGACACCGTAACAATATATTTTTTTGGAAATATTGTTACATAATTATTTAACGCTGTAATGTTTTTTTCTCTACAGCTAAAAAAATGTACTTAACTAGATATGGACGATTCAAAAGAGTTGTATTTTGCATCCAATTTGAATAAAGATATTTTGACTTTTGACTCCACTGGCACTCGTATTCGAGATAACAAACAAGTGTGATCGCACCATAAGCCACCGCCCATAAGTGCGTTATTATTGGTATAAGCAGTCTTACAAGCAAACTGTTTATAATTAGGCATCAAAAACATTCATGTGATACACTATTATCACGGATAAACCCATGTTCGTGTTTTTATACTCTTCATTAATATTACAGTAGCATAAAAAACTCGGGGAGCTCGATGGCGCAAGTGGTTAGCGCGTTCGGCTACGATCGTTGAAGTTAAGCAACTTTCGCAGTGGTCGGTCATTGGATGGGTGACCAAAAATTTACTATCTCGAGCTCCTCCGTGCTTCGGAAGGCACGTTAAGCCGTTGGTCCCGGCTGAATCTGCAGTCGTTAGCACCCACCAATCCGCACGAGGCCTGCGTGGTGGGTCCTGGCCCAATCTCCCTATTCCATCCATAGGGAAGGCCTGTGCCCCAGCAGTGAGGACATTAATAGGCTGATGATGATAAAAACTATTAAGGAATTCTACCAGTTTGATGCTTGAAATGAAAACGCTACACTTTTTTAATAACATAATCATAAATTTTCATGAAAAAGAAAAGATAAAAATGAAATCTTTGTAATTTTGAAAGACCTTGAAGATAAGTTAAAGTTTAATATAACGATGAAAACGACGAGAGGTGCAAAATTAAGCACTGGCTGTAGATATTGGTCGCAGCTTCATAATGAGAGTGGCACAGCCGGCCGACCGAAAATTAGAACGACTGACGGATCGAATGGGATTGAAAGATGTTAGTTTGTGCCACAGAATGAACTAGAAAGCTCAAATAATAATAATAATAATAACATTTATATCAGATTTTTCATCCATAATGTTGAGTAAAAATTATGCTTACAAATGTAGCGTTAGTAAATTGAATTCATAAAATAAAATTAAAATTACATGTATGAAACTCAGCAAGGGCTGTTTTTTTCTCCCAGTTTTATCATTTACAGAGTCGTCAAGTTGAAAAATGACATCAGAGATGATTCATGAAGTCACCTTTCATTACATAATGTGAAATTATACATTAATTGTTCACCTGCATTTGGATTGCTGTGTCACACAGTATAAATACAAATAGAGTTATTTATAATAGGTGTAATTAAACATTTACATCTTAAATATCAAAATAGTTAGGGCAGACTCATCTCCGCTTTCAGCAACCGTTCACGAGCATGACGCATGAACCAGCCATCGCTTCGCTCAAGAACGTACAACCCGCCTTACACGACATATACACGTCATCCCACGGGTTTGTCATACGGAGGGCAAGTATATTAAATATTGAAGATAGGATATTTTACTATAAGAAGACATGATTTTATTTTTAATAATCACTAGTACCTGCTCGCTTAATAATACATGATCTGTCATTATTCAAAACAACCTTACCACCATATTTACATAAAAAAACTTCAATCGAAGAAACGTTGTTCAAATTTGAGAGACCTTGGGCTTTTCCTATTACTACCAAAATGCGAAAATATTGTAACTAGGGGTTGCTTTGTATATGCCGCATCAAAGCTATGGAATTATCTCCCACCACCTTTGCGGACTAACATTTCAATGTCAACATATAATTTTAAAAATAAATGTAAATTGTGGTTATTAGATAAACAGTATACTGCGGCCAAAACTGTATTTAATTTAGATATTTATTTATTTTATTTATTTATACTTAATGCACAAGTGTACAAATGCAGACTTAATGCCATAGGCATTCCCTACCAGTCAACCATAGGGTGTTGTGGATAAATAATGGAAGGGTGCACAAATTAGATGGAAAAAAAAATGTGGTGTCGTGGGACACCAGGTAGGAACGAAGTTCCTTCGGCTAATGTACAATCGACACAAATTGCAAACTCGCTTGTGTATGCGACTGTCGCGCCTGCGCACGTCTCCTTTAATGGTTTTATTCCACGCACTTTTTTCCACGGATTTTTTCTTACGGTTTTAGTATCACATTTTCACATTTTTTTCAGTTCGGTCAGTTAGTGTTCGTAAAGATTGCTAGGCAGGACTGGCCCACAGATTATAATTAACTACAATGTCACAATAATCCAGTAATGCAGCCCCGTCGCTCTGCCACCCCCTGGACTTAAGCACAGTTTAGTATAATATACGACAATAATCCAGTGTTGGTATAATGCCACAATAATTTGGGGTTGCACCCCCATCGCTCTGTCACCCCCTGTTAAGTACTGACCTTGTTATCATGTCTAGCTTAAGTTTACAGCAGATGATAGGCGTTCCTGGTCCACAGCTCGGTATAACGACACAAATATCCAGATTTCGTGTAATGTCACAATATTCCAGTGCTGCACCCTCGTTGCTGTGCCACCACCTACATACGCACCTTATTATCATGTCCCGCTAGCGTTCGTAAAGGATGCTAGGCAGGACTGGCCCACAGTTTAGAATAAACTACAATGTCACAATAATCCAGTGATGCACCCCCGTCGCTCTGCCACCTCCTGATAAGTACTCACCTTGTAATCATAATCATGTCTCACAGGCGTTACTGGTCCACAGCTTGATATAACTTCACAAATATCCAGTATTGGTGTAATATCACAATATTTCAGTGATGCACCCTCGTCGCCCTACCACCCCCTATAACTTCACAAATATCCAGTGTTGGTGTAATATCACAATAT